GTGTATGTGTGTGTACATGTATGTGCGAGCATCTGTTGTTATATATGCATTTTTTGTTTTGATTTTACTTTGATTGTGTGTGTGTGTGTGTGCGTGTGTGTGTGTGTGTGCATGCATGTGCGAGCATCTGTGTGTGTGTGTGCATGTGCAAGAATGTGTGTGTGCATGTGTGTGTGTGTGTTTGTGTTAGGGTGTGCATTTGTGTGACCTCCTGCACACAAAAAGGATCATCTCCCCCACCCTGTATATGGCTTAACACAGGTGAGTCACAAAGGCAGGAAGTAAAACATCCTCACTAAATAAGAAACAGAACGCTAACCGTATGTGCCCATAATAAAACACTACAGCCTCCCCACCAACAGGCTGGGGAGGTCAGAAACAAAGGAATGTCTTTGATCATGGTGCTTGAACTAAGACTTACAAATTTAAGTAACACAATGACAACATTTAACATTTTGACTCCAATGAAATGAAATTGCAGCACTAAGCTGCTTTAGTAAGCCCTCCATGTGATGACTGAATGTGCTCATTACCTGCTTCCTGCTCTTGTAAAGATGCTGATCCAGAAGGTTGTGAGCGTTAACTGCCTCAGCTTCGTTCTTAGCCTTCATGGCATGCTTGTGCATTTCCACTCTCACTGATGGAATAGGGTCTCTAGTACAGAGGAAGACAATCGTGTCAGTGATTTAAAGTAATACCAGAATATTAAAAGGGCTATGTTCCCTCTGGTTTATATTTTAAAATATGGTTGTGAAATGAGCTGTTTTCAGGCACTGAATAGTTGCAGTGCTCCTAGTTAGCTAGTTAGATTTTTCTTCAAATTAAAATAATTTTTTGTGGCCTCTGATTCATCACCACCCAATTATATAATGGCTTGTAAGTCTGCTTTTAGCTCTCCTCTTATTATCAGAAAAATCCAGATTGCTTACCTCGTAGTGGGCTTTGCACAGTGACCATTTGACATGTCCACCCTCATGCCAGGCATGTCCTCTGAGTGTTCACTTTCAAACTTTTTCCTGAAATCAATAGCAACACTTTCTTTACGGATAAATTCCAGTGAGCCTCTACGCTCGCCCTGCAACAGAAGAAGACAGAGCTTTCTTTACATGCGGCAAACTTATTAGTTTTCTATAATGAGCATTTCAGCAAAATATACTTAAAATGTACAAATGATGCTCACTTCAGCCACGTATTCCATGGCATCCTTGAGGTTCAGCTGATGGAAGGCATTAAAAACTTCATCTTGTTTCTTCCTTGCAGACGGCTTCATCAAAATCCTCGACATCCACTTCTCCTCAAAATACTTCCACCTTAGCAAAAAGAAAACAGATCACTGTAGCCTATTTTAAAATGAAAAGGCATTTTGAATTTATGTATCAAGTCTTTTCATACTTGCTCCTCTGACAGTTGTGTCCTATTTGTCCTGATATGTCTTCTATGGCGACCAGAGTGTGATTAAACATCTAAAGAAAGGAGAAGGACTCTAATAACTGGACAGAAAATGGTTGTGTAGGTGAAACATGAGATGTTTCTTAAGATTTACCTTGTTTGTCATTTTTTCTAGGAGTGTGAGCTCTTTCACTTCAGCTCTCTTTACTTTCAGCCACGTGACCAGAGGTTTCATCGTCATTCCCTGCAACAATGTGAAGCAGTAATGTGCAAACCTTTAGCTCTAATGCAGACTGTGTAAGAAGAAAGAAAATAATGTATACATTTAATAACAAAAGCCAAACTTTTACTACCTGCCAGATGACAGTGAAGTAAACCACAATGAGTGTAGTGCAGACCATCAGGTTTTTCTCTTTTATCTTATTCTCATCCAGCATCACAGCCAGGCCATATGCAACAGCCCCTCGTAGGCCACCGTAGCTCATAATCACCTGATCTATGAATTCCAGCGGGACCAGCCTGTACCTGTTAAGGATCCAGGTGAGGAAAAACACACCTGCAGTACAAACACAGAAAATTTCTTTGTATAACACACAAACCTTTAAATCACAATGTGTGCATGTGATAGCAAAAGGACCAAATCTCACCAATGAATCTATACACAAAGACGAAGAAGACTGTGAGGAGGATGAAGCCCGTGTTCCAAACCCAGATAACCTTATCGATGGCCGAGATACCGAGGAAAACAAAGATGATGGTTTCTGATCCGTTGGCGAAAACCTTCATGGCATATTTGACAGTTTGGACTGAATGCTCATGCATGTTTGCTCTGACGTACTTCTGACATAACACACCGCAGAATGTAGTCCTACAGAAGGAAACACAAATATAAATTGTGTGCATCTAAATATGTTTACTACATTTTTACATATAGAAAATGGATAAGACACAACAAAATAAATGATATTTCAGTTGTGAAATACTCACGAAAGGATAGCAGACAGAGAAAGCATCTCAGCAGTCAGGTAGGAAAGGTATCCCATGACAAAGATGAAGCCTGGCTCGATGATCTTGACATTTTTTGTGCATCTGGTCAGAAGTGAAATTAGTAGGCCGAATGCTATGCCCACAAGGGAACCACCAAATGCAACCACGAAGAAGGAAACTGTAGAGAGAGAGTCCCAAAAAGTAAATTCTGTTCATCTGGACAAATCATTCTCAGTGGAAGAAATGTTTTGTGATTCACGCAAGTGACTTCTTCACTCAGCCCTAGTTTATAAGGTTGTGGAAACATGCAGTCAGCTGCATGCACTGATAAATTCTCTATTAACAGCTTAATAAATGCCATGTCTTACCTATTCCTTTAGCAATTTCTGCAGCATCAATTTGGGATCCTCCCAGTGACACAAATGCATCAAACACATTGAAGAGCACCTAAGAGATGAAAGAAAAATTGGATAGAAGAAAAATTAATGACTAATAATTAATTAATTAATGATTAATAATGTTTTCCAGACTTGTCCATTCTAGCTTGTACCATTTAACAGGAGAAAAACTTCTATCGCATTCTCAACATGGCAAAGCCTTATGATTTAGGTGAGGGTGCTGAGCATGCAGGAGTTTGTAGAGTGGTGTAACAGCTCCGAACTTGAACTGAACGTGAGCAAAACCAAAGAGATGGTGGTGACCATCTCCAATAGGCAGAGGGATCTGGCTGCTTCAGTCACCACCACCATCCATGGGAAGCCAGTGGAGGTAGTTGAGGTATACAAATACCTGGGAACCATCTCTGACAACCTCCTGAAATTCTCTGCCAACACAGAGGTGCCACCAATGGCTATATGTCTGTGAAGGTTCTCAGTCGCTTTTCTTTGCAAGCTCCTTTGACTACCAATGGCTATACCTCCTTAGAAAACTCAACTACTTTGGAGTCAGCACACCCATCATGATGACTTTTTACTATGCCTTCCTGGAATGCATCATGACCTTCTCCATCTCCTGCTGGCTCCACTCCCTCAACCTTCAGAACAGGAACAGACTGCAGCACACTGCATCAGTGTGCTCTAAAATCATTGGCCTGCCTGTCAGAACTGTTGCACAGGTTTTTCAGCCAACAGGCCCTTAGACAGGCAGCCAAAATTATTAATGACCCCTCTCACATTCTTCACGCCGCATTTCAACGGCTCCCCTATGGGCGGCGCCTCCACTGCATTTTCTGCAGGAGGAGAAAATGCAGCGAGCCACCTTTGTCTGAAAGCCACTCTGCTTTTTAACTCCAGCCAATAAGCCCATTTCCCACACCATAAACATAAACTACTCTACACTCTTTTTATACTGCCGACAGTTTATTCACTTTTAGTCACCTCCAGTTTTTTATTCACTTATTCAGTGACTTTAATTTTAAAACTGTGTATATACTGTGTATTTTAAGTATTTTTTTTCTCATTCGTTTTGCCTGTTTACGCCCCGTCCTTATTTTTAACATCATGCTGCTCTGTTGTATCTTAATTGCCCCTTGGGGATAAATTAAGTCTCTCTGATTCTGATTCTGATTTTTCCAAGAGTTCAGTAACAACTCAACCAAGAGGTCACAAAAGAACCCAGAACAACATCCAAATAACTGCAGGCCTAACTTGCCTCAGTCCTGGTCAGAGTTCATGACTCCATCATAAGTTAGACACTGGGCAGAAATGGCCTGCATGGCAGAGCAAACACTTTTTCACACCACTGTACATAAATAATTCTGTCTTCTTCTTAGTCCTTGTCAGACTGTCTCTTTACTCCCAGTGTGTTCCCTAGTGTTACTCCAGCTGCTTTTGTTAATGTTATGTTGTTGCTGGACATTTTAACCAATAAAGGTGTATTTTCTGTTTATTTCTTGGTCTTCAACTTAACACTCCAAATGGGTCTGCAAGCGCTGCAAACTCATGACACCTCTGGTTTGATTCACCTAATTTTGAGACCATTAAGGACCAGATATTATTTACTATGTCCTGATACGTAAAAGAGCTTTTTTCTTTTCACCACGACTGTACACTTACAGAGACGAAGGAAGGAGGAAAGAATTCAGCTGGTCAGATTTTGTTTCACTGTCCTTATGCAGTACAACATGCTATAGTTACATAAATGCATTTTGTTACCAAACTGACCTTTCATAGTTTCCTTTTACAAATTGCACATTGCATGTGCAATTTGTAAAACTCTTACACTAGAGGGCCCAAGTGTTTACTTACTCTACTACATTGCTATGATGGGTGTCTCAGCAAACTCACAAACTGTTATGCTACTTAAGTAACGCTAAACAAAGCAATGATGCATACGAACCACTGTTACACCATCGTTGAGCAGCGACTCTCCAAACACTATGATAAAGAGGACGTCGTTAACGTGGACCTGCTCAAACACAGCGATGACGGCCACGGGGTCCACAGCAGCCATCAGACTGCCAAAAAGAAGGTACTGCAGCAGACTGATGTCCAGGTCACCTGTACAGATACAAAGAGCAGGAAATATATTCAGTTTTGCTCAATTGTACTGTAACTATGATCAATCTGGCACTTTGCTGCAAACTGAAATGCTGGAATGAAATGCTGTGTCATTTGGTAAAACATTCTCATTTATTGGTAGGAAAAGTCCATGTCAAATCTCTCTCCAGTCTCATCCAGTGCACTGGTTTGGCAGTGGTCAGACTCAGTATTCTTCACTCAAAGGTTTAAGGCAGGGGTCCCCAATCCCAGTCCATGAGGGCCAGTGTCCCTGCAGGTTTTAGATCTCAATTTGTCTGCATTTTGATGAAGTGTTAAAAGGAAGTCAAATTAGCTGTTAGTGATGTCGATGTTTAATGTATCCAAACAAAGAGTAAAAGGAATGTTTTAAAGGATTGGTTTTATACTAAAGAAAACTCTTCTCAGGCAGCTTTCCTGAGTCACCGCGGATGTAAAAATATCATTTGTGTGACGTGTCTTTGTTTCCAGAACAAACTTCAAGGCAAAAAAACAAAGCCAAGGCTGAAGTACTACAAACTGCAGTTCCTCTAGTGGCCACTTGATGCTCGTTCCAAAGGCAAACTAATCTTTATAGACTCTCACTTAGAGCATTAAAAGTGCCATGATCCAGTGAGTTTTGGTCTTCCTGGAGTAGTTTTCCACTTCTCTCCCGAGATCCTGACTCCACTCATGCTGGCTCATTGACCGCAATCAGTGCACAGTATTTAAGACCAACTCTGACTTGCACTCTCCACCAGATCATCAGCTAAAACCTTGTGTGAAGAAAAAACAACTATATGTGCTGTTCAAGATTCATCTGGGAACACAATATGTGACCCGAAACAAATAAACAACATTTTCAGGGATTTCTAAAAGACGTTGTATTCACCACAAATAAACCCATCTAAAAAGGAAATTGATCAGTTTTTGGACAACATAACTCTTCCAAAATTATTAGACACTCAAGCAATGGCACTGGATTCACCACTGACACCAGGTGAACTCCAGGAAGCCCTGATAAGTATGCACAATAATAAGGCTCCAGGTCCAGACGGCTTTCCTGCAGAATTCTACAAAGAATTCTGGACGATTTTAGCACCAGTTCTTTACAGAACGTCGTTGGAAATCAAAGAAGACGGCAGATTTCCATCAAATATGAATTCTGCAAACATTAATCTCTTGCTAAAACCAGGAAAAGAGCCTTTATTTCCCTCAAGCTATCGTCCAATATCCCTTATAAATGTAGACCTTAAAATAATCTGCAAAGCTCTCTCAAAGAGACTAGAGAAAACAACCCCCCTCTTAATGCATCCTGACCAAACTGGTTTCATAAAAGGTAGGCACTCATCAACAAACGCACGTAGATTATTTAATTTAATAGACTACTCATACAGTAAAAGCATCAAAACTACAATATTTTCTTTAGATGCAGAAAAAGCATTTGACAGAGTTAACTGGAAATTTCTTGACCTTTTTTTTTTAACCTTTGACCTGCCTCTGCTTCCCCCACCAAGATCCCAATTCCAGCCAGCATAGTGTCATCTCACACTTCATGTTATTTGCAACCTTCCCTTAGTCTCACAGTTCATGTTCATATACCTGCTCAGTTCACAACCTTAGCTCTGTTCACCTTGTGCATCACGCCATTGTTAGATAAAGTTCTTTTGTTTATCACTTTCTCGAGTCTCAGGTTGAATCTGCGTTTGAGTCCATCTCTCATCTCGGGCCGCTGAGCTTTGACATCACTTCCTCTATGTGAGCCGTGGTAGCAGGTTTGCTGAAATGAAACAAAATAAAAATCCTCTCTTACCCATGAATCCTCCCATGTGACACCCCCACAGCGACAGCCCCAAACTGGCAGCATTCCAGCAGGTCCCAATGACAGCATAGACCAAGATGGCACCCAGGTTGGTGAAGAACAGTTTGTTTGGCATGTGGTAGCCTGCGTCCAGAATGACTTGAGGCAACAGGAAATAGAAGAAGACTGTCGGGGTCAGTCTGAAGGTCTGCATCTTGTCTGCACCCCAAATCATGCCACCCAAAACAAAACCGAAGCAGATGAGCAGGACGCTCTCGGGTATGACGTTGGTGACATGGTGGTTGGACTCAATGACTGAGAGGAGAAAAAAAAGATCAAGACAAGAACCATCAATCAATACTATCAACCTTTGTAACAACCTTTGATTTTAAGCCAGTCTGCTTGTAGTCAGGTAGGAGCTGGCAAACATTCAAACCTTCACTGCACTTTAAGTAAAACCATATACATAAAACTCCATTTGATCATTTGCAACTGTTGCAATATTTTATTTATATTTAGGGACTGTGGACAGATATATAGCAGGTAAGATAAGTCACCAGTTTTCTAAGCAAATATATTTCTAAAGGTGCTATTGAAATGATATTCTCACTAGATCTTGGTAACAACCCATCCAATTCACATATGCAACGAGATAAAACTATAGATGTTCAGAAATTAAGTCATGTGTAATAATGAGGAATGACATGGGGGGAAAATAATTGAAGAGGTGGAGAATGTGAGTTCCAATAAGCCATGAAAAGTCATGTCACCAGCTGAAATTTATCAGTAATTACAATATAAGCAATATAATATCACCTTATTCAGTCCTACCTGATGGCTTAATAAAAATTGTCTCATTAGGTCAACAATGTTAAGTTATAACATTTTGTTAACTGTCAAAGATGTGCCTTAATGCAGATTAGTCATAAACTGGAGAGGAAATGGCGCATCACTAATTTTGAAGATCATCATTTAGCCTCTAAAAAGTGTTTGCGACTGCTGGGAAGCTGGAACATCTTCATCAATCATGTTCATCACTGATTAAAGAAATTAAGAAAAACCCTACGTTTCTCTCTAGCCTTGTTTCCAGGCGAACAAAAAGTAAGAACTCTGTTAAACAAGCCATTCATTTAATGTTAACTGGTACTGACTAGTGCTGTCAGCGTTAATCTCGTTAAAATGATGTTAACGCCATAACCGCATTAAATCTCCATTAGCGAGTTAGCGCAGTGTGCGGGGCTGCACGGTGTAAAAGCATTAGAGCGGTTTTAACGAGATTAACGCTGACAGCACTGGTACTGACTTCATGAATTTCTTCACGAATGAAAATTTAACCATTAAAGAAAAATTACTCATAATCATTTCACAGATGTAACCACTTTCTGTACCACTGATATTCATTTAGTCTTTTTCTCAAATTGATTTTTCTGAGTTAACTTAACTTATTGCTTCCTCCAAACTATCAACATGTCTTTTAGACCCCATTCCTATAAGACTGCTCAAAGAAGTCCTACCATTAATTAATATTTCAATCCTGATTATGATCAACATGCTTCCTTTAGGCAATATCATTAAAAGGCATACCTTACATTGTCCCTGCTATGCACATGAAACACAACTTTATCTATCCATAAAGCCAGATAACACAAACTGCAGAAAGGTCTTAAAGATAAAGACTTGGTTGACCTCCAATTTTCTGCTTCTAAATTCAAAGAAAAATTAGGTTATTGTACTTGGCCATAAAATCATAGAAATATGGTATCTAACCAGATGCTTACTCTGGATGACATTAGCTTGGCCACCAAACTTGGGGTCATTTTTAACATTCTGTCTCACAGTGACGCTGAAAAACTAGTTCATGCATTTATTACTTCCAGGCTGGACTACTGTAATTCATTATTATCAGGATGTCCTAAAAACTCCCTGAAAAGCCTTCAGTTAATCCAAAATGCTGCAGCAAGAATACTGACAGGGACTAGAAAGAGAGAGCATATTTCTCCTGTTTTGGCTTCTCTTGATTGGCTCCCTGTTAAATCCAGAATTGAATTCAAAAACCTGCTCCTCACTTACAAAGTCTTAAATAATCAGGCCCCGTCTTATCTTAATAACTTTATAGTACCATATAACCCCATTAGAACACTCTGCTCTCAGACAGTGGGCTTACTTGTGGTTCCTAGATTATTTAAAAATAGAATGGGAGGGAGAGCCTGTAGCAAACCATGTCTGCTTTTAAGATTAGGCTTAAAACTTTCCGTTTTGCTAAGCATACTGTTAGGCCTGGATCAGATGACCCTGAATCCTCCCTTGTGCTATAAGATTTGGCCCTATTTGAATATAAGTGAACTTACACACTCTTTTTTTATAACTATTTTTATTTATTTTGTGAGCACTTCCTTGAGAAATAATTAAAACAATTAAGAAATTGACCCAGTGACAAAAATAGATGATCAGAATAACCCTAAACTACATACATATTTAAAAATTACAAAATTTCTTGGGTGCAGAGGAGTTTATAATGCCAGAAGAAGAGCACTTCCATCAATTTGGCTTTGCAAGACTTACTGAGTTTGCAGAGCCAGGCAACCAGGATCCACAGGGCCACCAGGTACTGTGTGGTGACGTGATGCCACTTCCAGGTCACAATAGGCAGTGTAGTGATGGGCGCCGCTCCATGACCACCCTCTTCAGTTGCGTTAGAGTTTGAGCCCGTCCCAGTGTCTGTTTGAGAATTTCGGGGTTCTGCTTCTTCACTAGCCAGGCTCAAGCCTCCACACGCCATCAGCAGCATGCACAGAATAAGTGTAAATTGCCAAGAAGTTGCCATTCTTGGATACAATGCCTTAAAAATTGTAATCAAACTGTTATTTAGACCGTTAATACAAATGCTCAGGTCAGCCTCAGACTGTAGCTTAAAGTCTCATTCCCTTTGCTGTGCCTTCTTCTCCCTTAGATCACTCTCATTGTCCTCCAACATCTACTTTCTGGATAAGGATACAGCTTTTCACAGCAGGTGAAGCTCAGCCCATTATGATGTTGGTCTTTCTCCTCCCACTCGTGTACCCAGACCAGTACGTGTGGCCACATCATTCAGTGGTATAATTAAAGTCCGTGAATCCCTTTATTACCAAGTTTTCACTAATATTTAAATTCTCTGATGGAGTTGATTAAAATATTTTTGGAAGAAACATCTTATTTACAAACTTATGAAGCTCTTTTTAATCCTATTATAAATAACACATGTTAATATGAGCTTGTTTGAAGCATTTGTAGTGTATGTGAACATGCATTCAAAAGAAAGAAAATACTGTAACTTAGGCCACCAAACATACTTTCTTTCCTAGGTTCACACTTAGTATGGTGTTATGACAGGAACATTTACAACAATGAGTCCCAAAAATGTCTGTTCCTTTAAGACTATTCATAAAAACTATAATAGCTATATTATCACTACTTCTTGTGTTGATCTTTTTATCAACCTAAGTTGTTATGGACATTACAGTTTTTGAACATGTGTTTGTAATTTATGCCCTGTATGTGTCAATATTCTGACTTTATATGCTTTGAATTTGGGTTATAAAAGGGATCATTTCAGGATTATTTTGACTATAAGCAATAATCGGATAAAATATAGGACACTGTTGATCACAGACCACTTTGGGTCAAAGTTACCAAGAACATTTGTTTTGATACATTTTTAAATTTTTATGCAGTCATATAAAGTAACACCTGTTTTAACTGAGAATATTTTATTTGTGTACAGAGGAAATTATCCCCAAAGCAATCGTGTCTGACGCAGCTTCTTACTAAGACTTCAGGTGATGAAGAAATTATCATCTTATGTCCATTCAGACCTCCAATCGATCTCCAGAACTACAAACCTCACTTGATTCTTTTCAGGAACACTGTCTGCAGGTTTCCCCGTGTAAACCTGTATATTCCAGCTATAACTTGGCCCTGCAACACAAGTTGCCCATATCTTTATGCAATATTTAGACTGCTTACTTGACATATACTGCTTAAAAGGTCAACATCCCCCAAAGGAACCGGATACCCATTAAGAGTAAAGTCTGGAATTCGAGTAAATATGGGCTGGCTGGCGCTCCACACACTTGTCTCAAACTTCTCTGATCGCTGCAAATTTGTCTTGTTAGTGACGGCCAACCAGCCGGTGGAGTCAGAACTTTCTTGCTGAGAAGCAACAGTGCAAACCACTCCACCACCGTGCTGCCTGATTACAATTGATTATTTGCAAAGTTTAAACAAAGACATAATTAAAGTTGACATATTATGCTCATTTACAGCCACAGAAGTTATTCTTGGACTGGATTAGCGTTCCATTATTCATATTGTCTTAATAATCCTAATTTTATCTTCTGCAGAAATATTAAAGACAAAAAAATAAGATATATGTAATCTATAATGTTTATAAATGTTTTATAGTAATAAAAATAACAGAAAAAATATGATAATTTATTGAGCACTTTTTAAAATTCACCCTGCAAAGTCTTTCACAAGGGCAACGAATCAAACACAGCATGAAAAATCAGTTCTGAAAGAAGTATCATGAGTGTAGTGTAGACGTGCCGAGGACTCATGAACAAATGAACGGCAAACACATCTCTTATTAGGCTGATCCAGTGTCCAATAAATCCACCAAACCCAATAAATCTATAATAAAACATACTTGGAACTAGTGCAAGGAGGCTTAAGCAACCTAGTTCAGAAACACTAGCTTTGATTTTTAGAATGTGTAAGAACAGTGTCTTTATCATTACAGCTATGCAGAGAGACTGTCAGGGAAGAAGGAGGATCTGTCTTTTTGGACACCATAATGAAGAGTGGACAGGAAAGCAGGAAGACACGTAGCATAGCACCTCAGAGCTGAACCTGAGCTGCTGCATTTATCTATGCAGCATGTGGTTGCCCATTTACCCTGTCGGCTAAACGGGCACTTGAAAGATCTGCCTCAATGATATGTCTTAATGTTTCTTGGAAAAGACTTTGAACGGCCTTCCTGGAAAATGCAATAAATAAATTCTGTAGTAAGATAAGTATTAGTCCCAGAGATAAGATATTCACATTATTGCATAAGCAAAACACACAGGTCAGCAATAAAAAAATTAATTCAGCATATCTAACAACAATAACAACATGCAAACATAGAAGAAAACAAATATTGTTGCCAGTGTACTGCATGAGCCCACACAATTTGCAAACCGAAATTTCAAGTTACCTCTGCCAATCAGGAAGCTCGGTGAAGGTACTGTACGTAAGTAAGTTAATAGTAATAGTCTTGTTACCATGAAGCAGAACGTGGAAGGCATCAGCTATCAGCGCTACTGATAAGCTACCAATGTTACAGCTAATGGTTATGAATGAGTAAACTACTGAGTACTGCATGGTCAGCACGGTTTCATAGATGATGAAATCCTTGTGTTACTAGGTGAATCACATGGTGTTATTGCCTGCAAAGCAGCATATGTATTATGTACATGTTTATTATATTGTCAAGAAATATACTCTAAAACACTTCTTCAGTAAAGACTCAGAGAAGAGAAACACACGGAACTTCTTGCTAGCAAGGGCAGCCTCCAAACTGAGACTCATGCTGAGAAACTGCCTTTATTTATACTTCAGTGAGCGTTTGTTCCTTACATTGGAATGTGGAGGTGTGTGGAGGTGTGTGTGTGGAGGTGTGTGTGGAGGTGTGTGTGTGTGTGTGGCCCCATAAACGACTTCCCTTAACCTGCTGGTCTGGAAAATCCAACAGTTCATCTATATGTAAAGGTCTGTAACACCCTAGAATGTTACAGACCTCCTAGGATGAGACATTCTTTCAATATGCCACCAACTATATACTTCTACACACAAATGATTACATGCAGCATTCTACCATATGCAAACTTATATCATTAAAAGATTATACTGATTACTAAGTACAATTTTCCTATTAACATATATATTCCTAGCTCACTGATGCTATCACTACCTGATTTTGAGTGTGTCTGTGTCCACCCGTCTGTTTCCAAGTAACAAGAAAATTAAGCCATTCAGAGTAGCAATAGGAGAGGGAGGGAGAGAGAATGAGGGGAGAAGAGGCAGCTGTGCAACGTAAAGACAGAATAACTTCAGCTTTGTGCCTTTTTTTCATTCTAGCTAAAGTACGGGACTAATCGCGTGATGATCATTGGAGCCTCTCTTCCCTCCATCACGGACACTGGTTGTGACACCTTCATGTCACAACCAAGCACTTATCTGCAGTTTCTCACACATACTCACACACACACACACACCTTCAGACACCAAGTTACTTTTTGCACAATACTCAGTTTTGTGCATATTTCCATTGCACTGTCTTGTGCCTGTATCGTCCTGGTCTGTCTAGTGTTGCACTGTTTTGTCTTGTGTATTTGCAATTTTTACACATTGCACTTTACGTAGTCCTGTGTTTGTCTGTTATATGTCATATGTAGCACCAGTACTGTACCACTGTACATGTTTGAAGTGACAATAAAAGCCACTTGACTTGATTGGCAGCATTAACTCCAAGCTTCAACTTACTAACTTAACATTTAGAGAAACTAACTTCAAATGTTGACTTATTAACTCAAAATTTTGAGTTATTTTCACCATAAAAAATTAAATTTTGAGTTATGGATGACAAGCAAGCTTTTATAGCTTTCTGATTTTAAAGTACTTGAAACTAAAGAAATATTTGTTAGATTACACTAGACTACTGTTAAAAAAATGTCTTCTAGCAGCTCAATCATTGTCTCATATGTGTCTCATGTGCATAAATGTTGACTATTTTCCAACAGCAGCGATGGAGCAGATCAGGAGGCCGCCCACGACGGTGATGATATCCAGCCAGTGGCCCAGAAAGTGGCCAAGAATGAAGACTCACAAGTGGCTTGGCTGGTGGTCAACGGCAGCGTGGCCATGGAAAAACAGCCTTGTTGGTTTTCCATAGACATGGCTTGGCGGGCGCCGGACCAGGCTTGGCGGGCGCTGGACCAGGTGTGCGACGTCCTCGGGCTAAGGCGTGGCAGGACCAGGCGTGGCAGGCGAGACGAGCAGAGGCGTGGCGTCAACCTCTGGCTGGGTCGTGGCAGGGCCAGGCGAGGCTGAAGCTGAAGCTGAAGCCGGACCAGGCGAAGCCGAAGCCGGACCAGGCAAAGCTGAAGCGGCTGCTGCAGGTGAAACTGAAGCTGACGAGGCAGCTGCAGGCGACGCTGATGGCTTGACGGGCTCCTCCTGGAAACTGTGGTTGTGGAGGCTGGCACCGTTACAGCTGAGATGAATGTAGCACTTGAAGCAGCCACTGGTTGTGGTGAGGAGAACACAGCACTTGTCTGCTGCTGTGGTGACACAGGCGAGAGCCTGAAGCCAGCATGTTCAATGAGAGCAGGTTGAGGCAGTAACAAAGTTCTTTAAAACCCTCAGGCAAAAAATCCAGAAACCTTGGGTTAGCCGTGGCTATCCGGGTCATCTGAGCTCCTTCTCCTCCTCCTGTTTGCCTGCAGAGGAAATAATCCAAAGTGTGTGAAGAATCGTAACACGAATCTTGAATTCAAAAAAAGTCTGTGAAATAAATGTCCGCTGGGTCCATCATGGTCAGGTCGTTCTGTCACAGTCTGGCGAGGGCAGACTGTATGAATTGACGAGAAGGACCCAAAACGCAGAACCCGAGGAACAGGGAACAAAACTTGAATGTTAACAAAAAGCGAGCCGTTTAATGAGGCTGGTAAAAGGTACAAACAAAAGGCAAGGAAAACTGAAGCAAAATGAACACAAACCTAAACTGGGAAAT